GTGTAGTAGATCAACCCGATGTTTGTATATACATGTGAGTGTGAGTGTGAGTGTGAGTGTGAGTGTGAGTGTGAGTGTGAGTGTGAGTCTGGTAGATCTACCCGATGTTTGTATATGCATGTGAGTTTAGTAGAACAAAAGAAGTATGCTTGTTCACATTGATAGTTGCAGATGTATGTGAGCTGTGTATAGCATGAGAAGTATGGTTGATCACATTGATAGTTGCAGATGTATGTGAGTTTAGTAGAACATATGAAGTATGGTTGATCATATTGATAGTTGCAGATGTATGTGAGTTGAGTAAAGCATGAGAAGTATGCTCAATCACATTGATAGTTGCAGATGTATGTGAGTTGAGTAAAGCATGAGAAGTATGCTCAATCATATTGATAGTTGCAGATGTATGTGAGTTGAGTAAAGCATGAGAAGTGTGCTCAATCACATTGATAGTTGCAGAGTATGTGAGTTTAGTAGAACACAAGAAGTGTGCTTGATCACGCAGATGTATGTAAGTGTGCGTGTGGTTGAGCGAGAGGAATGTGGTTCTACTGAACTGCAGTATCGTGCGAACATGCGCATCTGTAATATATCATATATGCGTTTGGGTAGGTATACGACCCGAGAGAGTATCACACAAACAGCAGCCCCTTTTTATTACACCTGGGCTGCTTCTCATTTGGGCTTCTTTGTCCTCTCATTGCCCATGCATATGTATTGATCTGTGGCCCCCCAATCCTTTCGGTCGCGTGTCACTGGTTAAATCATTTTCCAATCCATGTTAGTTCTAGGTACAACCTATAGCGTCACATACTAATCACCAGTCCTTTTCGATTCGGTTCGGTACTTCTGTGCGGTTCGGTACTCTTGGGCAGGTGGGTGGTGATTCTGGAGTGGAGATCGACCAGAAGGGCGTAGACGCGTACGAACTACGGGATATCGAAGACGGTAATCAGCGTTTGTGGTCTGTCTTGGGTTTTTCAAAGCCATAAGTGTTACACTTGGGTAGTATCGGTGTACTTGGTAGCATCGTCGTGTGTCTCTGTACAACTGATATAAGTAAGTGTGGGGTTTTTATTCCATAGTCATGAGTGCTACACTTGGGTAGCGTTGTTGTACTTGGTAGCATCGTCGTGTGTCTCTGTACAACTGGTATAAGTAGGTGTGGGGTTTTTATTCCATAGTCGTAAGTGTTACACTTGGGCAGTATCGTTGTACTTGGTAGCATCGTCGTGTGTTTCTGTACAACTGATATAAGTAGGTGTGGGGTTAGGTATTCTATAGTCAAGAATGTTACACTTGGGTAGAATGTTACACTTGGGTAGTGTCGTTGTACTTGGTATCATCGTCGTGAATCTCTGTACAACTCATATAAGCAGGTGTGGCGTTAGTGTTGATCTCGGTTGAAAATGTACATGAACGGTCTCGTTGCTAGATGTACGTGTGCGGGCGATGTATGGATTCAATACCGAACTATCGTTGCACATCTATCATCCATACACAAACCCACTGATGGCACATGCTTGTCTCATTCACATATATCGACTCGAGTTTATATTTCGGTTGTATCGGGGGTGAGCGAACATGGGATCTGATATGGTCTAATTGTAATGTTAAAACATGGGATTTAATTCAATATTTAAACATGGGTTCGCATAGGGTCTAATTCAATGTTTAAACATGGGGTCTAATTTACTTTTGAAAAATACGGTCTGATTTTGTCTAGTTGCTTTCTTAAAACATGCGGTCTAAATTATTTAGCTTGGCGCCTAATTCTGTAATTCAGTTAACATGGGGTCTACTTTAATGTTTAAACATGGGGTCTAGTTCAATTTAATGTTAAAACATGTGGTCTATTTCCGTTAACATGGGGTCCAATTTAATATTAAAACTTGGAGTCTAATTCAACTAACATGGGGTCTAATTTAATGTCAAACATGTGGTCTAATTCAGTTAACATAGGGTCCAATTTAATGTTAAAACATGGCAGTTGGAGCGCCCTCTAGCGATGCTATTATCTACCCTCGATCCGTCTCGGTTGCCTAACCTGTTTTCGTCTCCACCAATCACACCGCGATTATTTATAGGTGTCCCCAGTTTGGACTGGCCGCCTCTGCCTGGCACGCAAGACCTGTCAAAGTTTGCCTTTGACACTATGGCGATGGTACGTGTACCCAGGAAAGAAAAGAAAAAAATAAAAAAGGAGTACGTCGTAGTCACCACACCCGGCGGTAGAAGCACAGTGCCCATTGACCTCGATTGTACAGTCAGTGAACTCCTCAAAATGGTGAGTCTGTTCATTTTGTCTGTAGGTGAGAAATATATATATATATATATATATATATATATATATACATATATATATATATATTATATATACTACTACCTAAACTAACTACTTAACGTTTACTTCTT